ATTGTAGCAAGGGGACTGACCATAATAGTTCACATCGCTGAGTGTGACATGAGAGTGGATTCCTGTCCGGCAAAGGTGAGACTTTCATGATGAAGGCTTTACCCTATGTGGCAGCATTCTTCAGAATTCTGGACTTCACTGTTAGGGATGTTCTAGTGTTCCTGCCTCAGTCTGTGCACTGCCTTAGGCTGTGAAAAGCAACTCAGGAAAGGTGACCTTTCCCCCTCCTATACTGTGGCCTAGAGCAGTAGTCTGAGAGGATCTCCTGGGAGGCACCTGCTGACGTTGACTACACTTGGTTAAGTAGACCGCTCAACTCTTCCGTTGAGACTTCCTGTGGCCTAAAGAGGCACATGAATGTGAACTGCTGTTGCTGGTGTGTTCTACTGATACACCAACCAGACACTTCTTCCTTTGACACTCACACACCTCAGGTGCCTTGCTAAAGTTCTAAAGAAGGTGCATATTGGCATTGGCAGCATGTGATGCATGGGAAATGTTGAGTCTTTGGCAGAAGTTGGCGGTAGCCTGATGTCAGAATTCTGTGCCATTGTGCCGAGCGAGGGCACTTTGAGAATCCTGAGGAGTCCCAACTCTGTCTGTCAGAATGTGGTTGGAACTTGCCACATTCACTTTCTACACTCTTCCACTGAGCACACTCTGCACATTGGCTGGAAGACAGAGGTCCGATGGGTCTCGTCAGTGAACTGTCAGTGAATCCGGGGCCATTTGCTTCCTTCAGGGCATATGCCGATGAGCCTGGATGTCCAGGAACCTCCCGAGTCAGGTGCCCCAGCTGGCAGATGAAGCGCTTGTATTCCACTTGCTGGAGAGGGCTGCATCCCCAGGCTGTAGCTGTCTCTCCCACCCGTGTATCTGCTAGAAAGCCTTTCTAGGAGAAAGGCTGGCTGGTGGTGGCTCCTCTTCCATTTGGGGTTTCCTGTTGGTGGGGGTGACATTGCCTCAGGGGAACCTTCTCTGCACTCTCAAGGAAGAAGGTATTGTTGGTACAACAGTGTAGGGACAGTTATGTATTATTTGTGGTGTTGTGGTACTGGAGTGGGGGAGACGAAAGGGGAACTCAATTGGGGGAGGGACAATGCCCGATGGTTTCCCCATGTCAGGCTTTTGCTTTCTCTTGATTTGGGAAATTCGGGCCCAGTAGGGCTATGAGGAGGAACCTCTGCGAGTATAAGGGAAGACTGACTGTGGGGAGGACACGGGTCTTTGGCGTGACGACTGTGGTGGGCATTGTGGGTTCTGGGCTCTTTCTCCTGTCTCCTTTCTCCATTCTCGTGCCCTTCCTTTGGGTTAGCATAGCTGAGGGAGAGAAGATAACAATGTGCCCTGATGATTATACTATAAGAAGATATGGCTTTGGTATCAACCCGGACATTTACTATGGGAACAGGATTGTTTTCCATTTTCCCAGGTGAATTATGATTTTGTCTGCAAGTGAAGGCTTTGCTGTCTCTTCCTTGCTCTGTGTTGCCTAGAACTGGGACAAATGGCTGTTGTGGAAGGGGAGCTCTTTGTCCAGCTGTACTGTTGCACAGTTTATAATCTAAGGGAGTTCTGAGAAGGAACTGCTGTTGCTTACACTATTTTTTTTTTTTTCTCCCGGTGATATTTTCTGTCCTTTTGCTGTAGCTTTATGGGCTCTTGGTCCCTGCTTTTGCTGCCAGGTCCCTGAAGGAACCCTCTTGGTTTCTCAACTTTCCAAGAGGCTTATTTAACTTACAGAAAAGATTTGCATACATTACAGAGAGTCAGAAATGGCAGCCTATTGCCTGGAGAATCACAGGGACAGAGGAGCCTGCTGGGCTACCATCTGTGGGGTCGCATAGAGTCAGACACAACTGAAGTGATTTAGCAGAGACAGACAAAGAACTGACCACACTCCAGAGTTTTTGAGGAAAAGTGAGAAAGAAGTCCTCGTCCCTTTTCAGCATGAGCAATTTAATTTTCCTTATTTGAGTGTCCCTTACAATGTGCTCCCCGTGAGCTACCAGGTCCCCTGGGTATCTTCACCATCCTTCCAAGTGCTGACTGAAAGTTCTGGTCTTAGCCAGACCTGGGCAGAATAATTCCTGAAGAGTAACTTGTGAAACAAGAAACAGCGCCTGAAGGACAAGTAAAAAGTATGAGTGACTGCTTGTCCTCTGGGAGCTTTTTACCCATACATATGTCCTCATGGCGACTTCTCTGCGATCAATAGGATCACTGGAGATGAGGATTAAAACTACAAACCTTGTTTAGAGATGGTTTAAGTCACTCTGCTGACATCAACAGTCTCTTGGCAAGCGGAGCTGAACTTCATCTCTCACCGTCCCTTTCTCAAGCACTCTGAAGGAGCAGAGATTTGATCTCCAATTGGCAGACGTCTAATTGTTGTGTCTTGTGGTGCACAGGACCTGCTAGAATACTTGGGAGGAGGCAAGGACTCAGATGCAGCAGAGTTTTACTTATGGAATTTTAGTGTGCAGCTCTGTCAAAAAGAGTGGCCAGAATGAGCCAAATACGTGCATTCCTGTACAATTTGAATGGTCTCTTCATCCCTCTGAATTTGAGTTTGCTCTCCCAGTCCACTATGCTGACTCCAGCATGAACCCAAAATGGGTTATTGAGTGTCACAGCCAGGCCACCTCAGAGTTTCGATTTGGGTTGGTTTTCTGAGCTTCCTTCACTTCTCCTTATTCATGTGCAAGCCTACTGTAGTACTTCTTATCAGCTTTGGAAAAGAGCAAATTGGACCCACCTCAGTGAATCCTAAGGAGATTCCCTGGTTTACCCAGCCTCTCCCCATCAGTCAGACAAAGCACCTTCCAGAATGCTGAAAGGCCTGTTGTAGATTTTCCTCTAGTAGGTTGTCAAGCACCTGTGCATCTCCTCCAGGCCCTGGAACTGATGTGTCCTGAAAAGGCTAAGAGGATAGATCTTGTTCTCTCATGTTTCTATTACCAAATACTACTAATAATAAATTATGAAGGTGGAATGAAACTTCAGAGTGCATGGGTGTGTTTATGGTATAGATTATGGAGATGCCTTATGGATGTATACTTATCTCCAGACACATTTGATTATATACATTAGATGTGTACCTCTTTTTGAGTGTCAGTCATTGCTCATACCTCAATAAAGGGGTTAAAAAAATTAAAACTAAAAAGACCCTTCCATGATCACAAATGAGTGTCGCCTCACTCCAAGTGATTTTGGATTTTAGAACTGAGAGGGAAGAAAATTTCTCCTTGGGGAAATGGTTAATGCCATTTACAGCTTCTATATGATGGTTTTGCCTTGGTTTCTCTATGTATGCATAGCATTTGCATCAGTGGTGTATAAGGTTAACCTTGAGTCCGTAGGATTTTGAATTTCATAGAATCACAGCAGTTCTACAGAAGTCGTCAACTTCATGCGGAGAACTTTGGCTCAAGGAGTGGCCCTGTGACATCAGCGAGTTGTCACTTGACCAGAAATTGACTTTGAGGTATTGTGCCTTTGGGAATGGCTTGGACTTTGGGTTGTTTTCATTTTGTATCATACGTGCTTTTATGCCTCCTCAAGAAATGTTTAAAAATTTTGTACCCATGGGGGCATGTCAAAGTGCGTGTGTGCTGTATTTGTATTCCACAGGATGGAAGGCACTGTCTCATGCTCATTGGTCTCTCTAGCAGGCCTCCTTTGTCTGAGACCTTCCCACTGCCTTCTGTTTTCTGTGTCACTGAGTTTGCTGGCCGTAGCTTCTTGGTTTCGTAGTCTTTTCAACTTATCCTAATTGAGCCAGGTTTGGGACTAGACCCACGAGAATGAGAGAGAGCCTGCAAAGATTAACTGGTAACCTTTCAGTGCAGATAATATGAAAAGACATACTGTTGGGACTTCCCCAGCTGTCCAGTAGTTAAGACTCCGTGCTTCCAATATAGGGGGGAGTGGGTTCAATCCCTGGTGGGGGAACTAAGATCCCACATGCTGCATGGCATGGCTAAAAAGAAAAAAAAAAAAGAAGGAGATACTGCTGAGTTACCCTGAGCTAGACTAATTTCTGTGTCTTTAAAATGTACTCCTTGCTTAAGTTTCTTGTCCTTTGTTAAATACCTGTGTTCTTCCAATAAAATTCATTTGCTTCAGAATATCTCACTTGTATGTTTTTATTATTCAGAATGAAGACCAGTATGATCAAGGAAGCTATGGCTCTTTCATGTGCCTTGTCACCTGAACCAGGGTGGAGCTCTAAGCTCTTTAGTCTGATGCATTAAGAACAGGAGCAGGTGGCAAGGGGATGGGGTCTCCAGGCCTTGGTGAAAGTTCCCCGATCTGTTAAGCTCACCCCTTTGTCTAGGGAACTATTCCCCTTAATGCTAGTCACTCAGTCATGTGGGACTCTGTGTGACCCCAAGGACTGTAGCCCGCCAGGCTCCTCTGTCCATGGGATTCTCCAGGCAAGAATACTGGAGTGGGTTGCCATTCCCTTCTCCAGGGGATCTTCCCACCCCAGGGATCGAACCCTGGCCTCCTGCATTACAGGCAGTTTCTTTACCATCCGAGCCACCTGGGGAGCCCGATCCCCTAAAGGTAGCAGGTAATCTAATGCCTCCCTATGAGAAGTGATCCTTTTAGCCACTTCATGAAAGCCATGAATGCATATTTGGGGATCTTGGAGAAATCTTCTGATACTCCCAAGGGCAAGGAGAGGTATGGTGACCAGCATGGTTTTATAGAAGATTAGCTCAGAAGTCAGTAGGACCGAACTAGAAGCAGCCAGCACACAGTTGATTCCTACTGAAGCCTGCATGACAATCTCGGTCCCTTGTGCCTGAGACATCTTTTATTACACCACACCACCAGGTCTTCTAAAGACTTTGAAATAGTAGAATTACATCAGCTAAGTGGGTAGAATTTTTTGGCATTGTTTATTCTTTATAAACATATCAATACACTTTCCAGTTGTAACTGGAATTCGGCATGCAATTAACTAAAATGGCATGTCTTACGTGTATAGCTTACCATGGTTTAAACATTTCAGCAGGGACTTCCCCGGTGGTCCAGTGGCTGAAACTCCATGCTTTCAATGCAGAGGGCCCAAGTTCGATCCCTGGTTGGGAAACTAGATGCCACATGCCACAACTAAGCCCCAGTGCAGCCAAATTAATTAATATTTTAAAAAAATCCATTTTTCCAGCAAATAGCCTTACTGTGGTCAGTAAACCCCCGCCCACCCCCAGAGGAAAGGAAAGTAAGACTGGCAGACTCTTCTGCCTATAGATCTTCAGGGTGTCTGGATGCCTTGCTCTTCCTGGCACTTCATAAAGATCTTGGGCTGAAGGTTGCAGCAATTCTGTTCTTACCATTCAGTCTAGAGGGCACCAAGCTTCAGTGTCTCATTTCCTGCCCGAGAGGTTCATCAGGATGCCGAGCTCAGATCACTTCTCTTTTCCTCTAATTGCACCTGGAACTTTATATCCCTTTGATTTTCCTCTCCTGCTACAGAATGAGTCTCACATAAGACTGGAAGCCATCTCCCATTGGCCCTATTTCAGGTCAGTGGGTATGATTTTTCCTGATGCATTTGCATTTAGACTGCCAACACCATGAAATCCCACTGCCAAACACCATGAAATCCCACTGCCATTCTGATCTTCATTGACATGCCAAGCCTCACCGGAATGGCTTTCCACGGAGGCGGGCCAAGGCCAGGGGTGGGCGGGGCCGGGAACCCTACTGTCGCTGCACAGGCCCCGCCCTCAAGAGCAGATGATTTCTAGTGCGCAGGAACACTATGGAGGCGGAGCTAGGGCTGTAGGGGCGGGAGAAGAGGGTTATGGGAGGGGAGGGGCTGATGGCGATAAGGAGGCGGGATCAGAAACGAGGGGCGGGGCCTCGGTTTCCCCAGGCGGGCGGCGGGGGAAGGGCAGGGGCCAGGGGCCAGGGGCCAGGGGCCACGGCAGGAGCCCAGGACTCTGCATCTTGCAGGATGAGGGCGAGGCCCTCTGCACTTGAAGCAGAGGAGTCAGCCAGTTGCCCACCCTCCCTGCCGAGCCCGCCACTCACTTGTCCTTCTGAGTTCCTTGGCTTGCATGAGGAACACATTTGTGAACACATTTGCCTGCTTCTCCATGCATCTCTCAGACAGATTATTGGCACCTACGCTGCAGATGTTGCCTGTGACATGAAAGGGAAAGCCCCAAATACTAGCCAGCATAATCCCAAGCAGCGTGTTCAAAGAGTGCACCGTGAGCAGGAAATATAAGGAAGGTTGAATGCTGAGAAAGCTCTTAATTTTCAATTCCAAAACACTAAAAGAAAATAATCATCTGGTCATCTGCATCAGCTTTGAAAAGATAAAAATGAAGGGTTATCTGATGTTGCCAGAGGCATTTGCCTTTAGTCTATTACCAACACCAGAATATCAAATTACCACTCAGATCATTAAGTTACTTTCTCTGACATCATCATCACATACATGTGCATAATTCACTGTTTACTTAGGGCAATGACACTCCAATTTCTTTCACAAATCATGTGTTAGCTCTTGACCGATAGCTCTTGACCCTATCCTCTCCAAGACTGGCAGTGGGGACAGTAACTGGGAGTTTTCCAGGAGGGTAGAGCAAAGTCCCTGAGTGCTATAAGGGCATATATTAATGTAAACCATACACAAGCTGTCCTCACGACAGCAGGGCAAAGAGGAAGGGGCATCTGGCCTTCTCCAATAGACATTCTGCAGGCTGTCCACTGTTTTCTAAATTCTTGCTCCCTGTCAAAGTTGTCTTGCCGGTTCACTCTCACCAGAACAGAACTTTGTTTTGTGTGCATGAGTAGACAGAACTGAGAGGAAAGAAAGCGTCCACACTCTGGGTGGCTCAGGCACTGCTCTCCCATCCCACAGAGGCAGTTCCATGCGTCTTGGCCTAAGAGATCCCCTCTGCTCTATCGTGTGGGCTTGTGATTGGCATCACATACGACTGAATCCTTGTGGTCTGCTGATAAAGATGCTCTTCTTGACCAAACTCTAGCTAGTCTCCTCTGAGCCCTCTTCTCACTTAAGCCTCGAACTTGGTCAATGAAGATGTGATCAAATACTAAAATAGTTTCTAACAGCTCAGAGTCTCCTCCCAAGGATGACCTTAGTCCCCTTCAACATGACTGTGTTAGAAAACTCAAGGCTGCCAAAATAATTTACTGTTTCTTCCAGGCAAGAGCAGAACATAGGGTCCCTTTCTCCCAGGTTCTGTGGAAGGGGAGGACCTAAATATTGACAGGCACCAGTTAAGAAACCCAGATGGGTTTCACACTGACGCCCCTCAAGGAACTTTCCACTTTTTGTAATTTCTCACTTCCCTGACTCTACTGAACCTTCACTTACACCCTTCCTTGTTCCTTCATTTTCCCTTTAAAAACACCCAGTCACTTCTGTACAAATCAAAGTTGACACTGGAATATTCTCTGTGTTGCAATAGTATGTTACTGATTAAAATCTGTCCTGACCACTTTAGTGTCTGGCTTTGTTTTGTTTATCTTTGATACTACCACAAACCGCAACATGTATCCAAATATTCTAGATGCCTCTCTATTGTTCAGATGGCAGGTCCCAAAGGAAATATTGTGGGGAAAAATGTCTGCATTTGCTTCATTAGTGGGTTGAAATTTTAGCCTTGTTTTGCTTCTCACCCAATACAATTATTTCTTCTGATGTCACCTTGAAGTTGTTTTGCAGCAAGTAAAAAAAAAAAAACAACAACGAATATAGATGTGAAAAAGCATGTTGTCCACCAATACCTTTACAGACAAAATGCCAGCCTAGGATGACAGAACTGATCCTAAAGATGATGAATTGCTGAAGACACTAGAAGGTTAAGTTAACCGTCCAGAACTCACCTTGTGTCCTGGCTACTTAGGAATTCAGGAAAACAGCAGTGACAAGAAAGGTAGTACAGGAAGAATTTTGGAGGCGACAGGCTTCCTCATTTCACGTTTTCTAAAATAAGACTGCACACTGTCATTACAGATTTTCACTCTTGAAGCCTCGTCTCTGTGACTCCGCTTAAGGATGGTGGAAGTGTTCAGGGCTTCTGTCAGGGACATGGGCTGATTGCTTCTGCGTGGTGTTTATCAGAAGCAGAGGTTTATCTTGGTGTACACCACAGCGCATGCGTGCCCCCACCCCCGGCGCAGGCGCCCCCAGTCATGGGCACGCGGCCCGCACCCGGCGCACGAGCTCCCACACCCCTGGCGCACGCGACCACCCTCCCCCCCCCGGGGCTCGCGCCCCCCACCCCCAGCGCACGCACTCCCATGGCGCACGAGTCCCACCTGGCGCACAAGCCCCCGGCTCCCGGCCAACAAGCCCCACTTCGTTGCTTGCGCCTGCCCCCAGGGCGCACGAGCCCCTCCCTCCCCGGCGCACGCGCCAGGCCCCACGACGCACGCGCCCCCCGGCCAAGGAGACACCCCCACACGGTGCACGCACGGTCCCCCACGGCACACGACGCCCCCCACGGCACATGCGCCCCCCTCCCTAGGTGCACGCGCCCAGCGCCCCTGGCGCACGCGCCCGCCCCCAAGGCGCACGAGCTCCCTCAGGGCGCACGCGCCCTCCTCCCCAGGCGCACGCGCCCGCCCCCAAGGCGCTCGAGATCCCTCAAGGCGCACAGGCCCGCCCCGCAGGCGAATGCCCAGCCTCCCCAGCGCATGCGCACCGCACTCTGGCGCATGCGCCCCCAGGGCGCACGCCCCCCGCCCCTCAGCGCACGCGGCCGCCCCCGGGGCACGAGCCCAGATGAATCACAAGACTCGCCCAGCGCACTTGCCCGCCCCGACGGCGCACAGGCCCCTGCCACCAAAGCACGCGCCCCGACGGCGAACTAGCCGCCCCCCACAGCGCACGACCCTCCCCACACTTTGCATGAGGCCCCCCACGGTGCACAGGCCTCCCCCCTCCCCATTCGCACAATCCCAGCCCCCCTGGCCCATGCGCCCGCCCCCACAGCACCGGAGCGCCCGCATGGCGCACACGCCCCCATCCCCAGGCGCAGGGGCAGCCTCCCCGGGGCACCTGCACCCACGGCGCACGCCCACCCCTGGTTGCACGCGCCCCTACAGCGAATGCGCACGTCCCTGGCGGACGCGCCCGCCCCCACGGCGTGCGCGCATGACCCTGGAGCACGAGCCCCCCCTAGCGCACGTGCCCGCCCCCACAGCGCACAGGCCCCCGCCACCGGAGCACGCGCCCCACGGTGAACGAGCCCCCCATCGGCGCACCCGCTAGCCCCCACAGCGCACGGGTCCCCATGGCGCACGAGCCTGCTCCCACGACGAACTACACCCCCCCCCCCACGGGCACGTGCCCCCCCCGTTAAGCGCCCGCCCCATGGCGAAGATCACCCCCAACCGCGCACGCGCCTCTGCCCAATGCGCACGAGGCTACCCACCGAGCACGCGCCCCCCCCCTCAGGCGCACGCGCCCAGCCCCCCTGGTGCACGTGCCCGCCCCCACAGCGCAGGAGACCCCTCAAGGCGAACACGTGCCCTCCCCCTCCCGGCGCAGGCGCCTCCCCACTCGGGCGCACGCGGCCCTCCCTCCTGCTCACGTGCCCCACCTCCCCCTGAGCTGATTGCTTCTGCGTGGTGTTTATCAGAAGCAGAGGTTTCTCTTGGTGCACACTACAGCGCAGGTGCGCCCCCAACCCCTGCGCAGGCGCCCTACTCTGGGGAACCCGCCCTCCACCCGGGGCACGAGTTCCCCCACCCCCATCGCATGCGCCTACCCCCTAAGGCGCACACGCGCCCCCGTCCTAGGGCACAGTAACTTCTGTACAAATCAAAGTTGACGCTGGAATATTCTCTGTGTTGCAATAGTATGTTACTAATTAAAATCTGTCCTGATCACTTTGGTTTCTGGCTTTGTTTATCTTTGATACTACCACCAACCGCAACATGTATCCAAATCTTCTAGATGCTACTGTGTTGTTCAGATGGCAAGTCCCAAAGGAAATATTGTGGGGAAAAATGTCTGCATTTGCTGTGTTAGTGGGTTGAAATTTTAGCCTTGTTTTGCTTCTCACCCAATACAATTATTTCTTTTGATGTCACCTTGAAGTTGTTTTGCAGCAAGTAAAAAAAAAAAAACAACAACAAATATAGATGTGAAAAAGCATGTTGTCCACCAATACTTTTACAGACCAAATGCCAGCCTAGGATGACAGAACTGATTCTAAAGATGATGAATTGCTGAAGACACTAGAAGGTTAAGTTAACCGTCCAGAACTCACCTTGTGTCCTGGCTACTTAGGAATTCAGGAAAACAGCAGTGACAAAAAGGTAGTACAGGAAGAATTTTGGAGGCGACAGG